TACATTTATCTGAAAACCTTAAAAGTCCACTTAAGGAAGTGACCCCAACATCATAAAACTATGATATTGTCTTGAGAACACATTAAGTCTGTTCCTCTCCTTTGAATAGACCTTAAATCTGTGTTATCCAGACAAATGAGACTCTTTCTTTCCTAAATGATTTATGCGCTCTTTAAAAGTATGTGAAAAATGGAAATTTCACAGCTTTCCTTGGTAATTCATTCAAGGGTCTTAGACTGTTTGTTGTTAGAAAACAGAAGTCTGGGCTGAGAAGGTGGCTCAGTGGTAGAGCACTTGCCTTGCATGCCTGAGGCCCTGGGTTTGATTCCTCACCACCACATAAGCAAAAAGCAAAAAGCCGGAAGTGGCACTGTGGCTCAAGTGGTAGAGCACTAGCCTTGAGCTGAAGAGCTGAGGGACAGCGCCCAGGCCCAGAGTTCAGGCCCCACGACCGGACCCAAAAGACAAAATAAAAGAAACAGAAGTCTGCAACACAAACTCTGCATGTTGTTGCTGAAGAGGGGGAGAACTATTAGTTATTATTTGCTCCCTCCAAAAGAGCATTGAGTGGACTGTTGGTGTCTGCTCTGGAGAGAGTTGGATAACTTTACTTTGGAGATAATTGATGGCTTTTTTCTTCCTTCCTGGACTGTTCCAGGCTGTTCTCTGACCCGCTTATGTTAAGACTCTGTGTACACTAATCCATCCTTCTCAGTTTCTCTCCAAAGCTATTGTGGTTGGTTACTTTTATGCCCACTTTCAATTTCAGAGAGGTACCTAATTCTCCACAATAGCAAGCCTATGTTAACATATTTGTAGAAGTAATTTTAATTTAGATGCTTAATATTCCAGGGCATTGTCAATACTTGCTTTCTGTCAGATCTGTGCTAATCAAACTTCAACTGTTATTTAGATCACAAGGTATTTGTTTGGCAAGGGGATGGAATTATTCTTTATGAAGGTTTTTTTTTCCTACTAGATTATAGTACCCAGTCTAATAATACTGTGTACACAGTATATACATGTTTAGTTAACTGAATTCCATAAAGAATTTTGTTGCCATTTAAATTTAAAACGGTTGTATATGAAATTGATGATGCTCTGTCAGTTGTAAAAACAAATTCAAATCCAGAGCTTCTGTCTTAAAGCTTTTTCTTTTCAAAAAAAATTTTTTATGACTTGTGTGTAGGACACTAGGACCCTAAGAAGTGGCATTTCTTTTTCTACTGTTAAAGAGAGTGCAAATGGCAGGCCATTAATAAAGCCTGCAGCTCTGTAAACCCCAGGGTATCAAAGCTATATCCATTGCAATTCAGCTTTATTACACTGTTTCAGTCATAAGAGTGGCTGATTTGAGCTGAAGTACGTAGTGAAAAGGGAAATCAGATTCACGGTTGACAATCAGAACCTAAGAATGCATGTAATATGTGACTTAGAACAGATCACTTGCAGCAGAAGTGGGTGGAACTCACCAGTAGATCCTGGACTGATGGCTTCTCTGGACTTCATACAGCAGCTAGCATGTGACCATTTATATTCCCATGTTAGACCTAGATCATAGCCTCTTAAGGGACTGTGCCAAGTTTTTCTTCCCTTGTATTCGTAGTGGCATTTACAGGGTAGATTCTAGAACCAGCTCATGTTTATTAACCAGAAATTCATATAGGCTAAAGACCTAAGAATCCTTCTGGGTAGCCCTTCTCCCTCACCCCTCTCACCAAGCCATCACTGAATTATTTTTGCCACCAAATATTGTTTTAAACCTGCTTGTTCCTCTCCATCTCTTCTACTAGAGTCCCTACTATTAGCTTTTCCCAGCCTATTTAGAACACACGCTGTGGACCACTGTAGTGGTCTCTGAACTGGTCTCCCCATACTCAAGGTCCTCTTCATTCCTTCTCTTCATTATAACTAGAATGAACTTGCATGACACAATCTCTTCAAAGGCTTTCTGTTGGTGGTGGTGGTGTTTTTGTTTTTGTTTTTGATGGTAGCTGATCCCCACTGTGGAACTGACCACACTACTGACTGAGGGGTACACACAAGGCGATCCATCATCTGTCACCCACTCACCCTGAAGGAGGGACCACTGACACTCCACAGAATAGCAGAATGTGTTTGTCCCACCTATCCTGCAGTATCTGGGTCTAGCAACCCCTGCTCCCATTCACTCTTTCTACACCCACCATAGGACTTGTTAGTGTTGTACTTCCTACAGATACTCATTGTTTGCTGCCACCACTGAGCCTCTGCACATGCTGCTACCTTAAGTTTTGACTCCCTCCTACTCCTTGAATACTCAGTTCCTGCTTCATTCCAATTGACCAGGTTGAATCTCCTCCACATAAGTTCTTACCTTGCAGGTGCAATTCAGCATTGACTTTTTGAACGAATAAATGAGTAAATTCTAGTAAGTGGTTGATGGTATTTTACAATGGGTTATTGACAAATATAGAGAGCAACTCAAAGACAAACTCCCTTAGTGTATTATTGGAGATAGCCAGATCCATAGGTGCTCTTCTCTTACATGAAATGGAGAAGTGTTGGCGCAGATTCTCTGCACATCTTCCCCTACCCAGTTTACATTGTTTCTGAATGTAAATTCTATGCAAATTCTTGCTGTACTGCATTGTTTAAGGAATGATGACAAGAAAAACTGCCTGCACATTTTCAGTATGTTTTTCCAAAATATTTTGATCCATGATTGACTGACTGTAAGTGCAGGACCTGTGATCTAGAGGGCTGGCTTTATATTTAAATTCTCTATATTCAGTATATGTGCAACAGTTTTAGATGTAAATACAGTTCTAGCATCCTCTTAGTTTCAATTCTGTTGTTCTAATTTGCTGTTTAATTTGTTAAAGATATAGCAATTTAATTTAAAAGCCTAGTTGAGTAACTGCACAAATAAATGATCCAAACACTGATGTTAGATAGGGTTTCTTTGGAAATAAGCTCTTTTATTGAGAAGTTTGTGACACTTAGAATCATAATGGGTAGTGTTTGTTGCTTTTTGGAGCCAAATTATCTGAATTTATGTAGGGAAATAACACTTATGACTGGTGAGCTGAGCAGGGAATGTAAATCCTCTTGTCTCTCTGTTTGCCCACCTGTGATATGGGTTTACCACTGGTATCTATTTCATAGAGCTTTTGTGAGGATTAGATGAGTTCACATAAATGTGTACTTACAGCCTTTTGCAGTACATGGTGAATGTACACTAATTACAGCCTGTTTCTGTTGTTGCTATTATGTTTACTCATTTAACACATTGCTGCTTTTTTCCTGCCATTGTTTTCAGTTCTAGGGTTGGGGCAAAGCTGGAGAACACTTTTCAGTTCTCTTGTTCCAGGGTGTCAAATACTATAATTTTAAATATGTATACATAATTATGTGTGTGTGTGTGTATATATATATATAGAGAGAGAGAGTATGTGTATATTAGAAGTAAAATAAACATGATTTGTAAGGACATAGTGGTAACAAGCCTAGTGTCACTTCACCTGAAGTATAAGCATAAATCAGCATACACAGAGTATCCAGGAAGGAGGAAAGAGCAAGTGTCCTGTGGTAGAAAGGAGCTTGGCCAGTCAGGTTTTAAATCTGGAAGAAGCCAAGTGTGCCTGTACTGTACAGAGCCTCAAAAACAGACTGGAAGCAGATTATGACTGTGTGGTGGGTCTTATGATATTACAAAAAAGGTATGATTACAGAGGAATTCACATAATATTTTACTGATGATGAAATATATATATATGCCCTGCTTAGGATTATATAGCTAGTGATGGAGCTAGAGCTAGAAGCCAAATGTCCCACATTCCTACTTTTGAAAATAAAAATGCATATACAAAAAGCACACATCATGTAGAATGTTTACAAAGCAAATACACCTGTGTAGTGTACCAAGTAATCTTGACTTGCTCTCCTTAGCATCCCCTCCACAATTAGACCCCCTAACTCTCTACCAGTCCTCCACAGGTATGCCTCATCCTGACCTATGACACCAGAGTAGTCTGGCCTAGTTTTGAGCTTTATAAACTTGTGAGTGGAAGCATAGATGGCAACCTCTTTTCCTGTCTGTGTGGCTGCTCTCACTGGCTATTGTATTCAACTGGGTCATTTGTGTGTGGAACAGTGGGGTTCTGTGTCTGTTCCAACATGTTCTGTTCCAACAGGTGAATATCACACAGGCTTCCTGTCTTTCCTCTCTTTGAAAGTGTGTGAAATGGTAGCTAGGTTGTGAGTGGTCTGGGTTAATTTTCCTTTTCCAGATCTCTTTTGAAAAAACAGTTCAAGGTTATATGAAGAATTTCCTCTTTTAAAGCCTTATTACGTTGAACACTCTTCGCTGTTACTTTGAGAAGAGATCACCTAGTTAAAAGCAAAGGCTTGTGTGAGCAGGGATCTTCTGATATGGATATGTACCTCTGATGGGCTGATATTCATCCTCCTTGGAAGTGCCTGTCACATGTTAGTTTTAATGTGACCCTGGTGGTCACATGTAGTTTTATTGAATTTACAGGCTTGTAAAATATTAGCTAGCCTGCTACACATTCATACTGTGTCAGGGTCTCTTTGCTGCTGAACTGGACAATATCATTTCTACTTTCTAAAATTAGACATCACTGGGCACCGGTAACTTACTCCTGTAATCCCCTAGCTACTCAGGAGGCTGAGATCTGATGATCATGGTTCAAAGCGAGCCCCTGCAGAAAAGGCCCTGAAACTCTTTATTACCAATAAACCACCAGAAAACTAGAAGTGACGCTGAGGCTCAAGTGGTAGAGTGCTCACTTTGAGCTGAATAGCTGAGGGATAGCGCTCAGGCCCAGAGTTTAAGCCCCATGACTGACAAAACAAAAACCAAAAACCAAAAATACAATTAGACTTACTTAAGTAATTTATTAATGAGATTTTTTTCATGTTTACTTACTTCATTCCATTTTTTTCTTTCTCTCTTTTTCCTGTTTCAGATGATGTTGCACCATATTTTAAAACTGAGCCAGCTCTACCACAGATTCACCTGGAAGGGAACCGCCTTGTTCTTACCTGCCTCGCAGAGGGGAGCTGGCCTTTGGAATTCAAGTGGATACACAATGGCAGGGAGCTCACCACCTACAGCAGCGAATATAAGTAATTGATCATTTGCAAATAAGATTCCATCCAGGGCTAGGAATGTAGCTTAGTGGTAGAGTGCTTGTGTAGCATGCATGAAGCCCTGGGTTCGATTCCCCAGTACCACATACACAGAAAAATCCAGAAGTGCTCAAGTGGTAGAGTTCTAGCCTTGAGCCCAGTCCCTGAGTTCAAGCCCCAGCACTGGCAAAAAAAAAAAAAAGATTCCATCTCAGATTTATGTCTTTAGGAGATGTGCCCTATTGGCCAGAATAGCTGGAGGGGTGGAAAATACTGGATGAAAATTCTAATCCACTAAGTATGAAAGGACTAGACTCAAACATGTAATTAGAATGTGATTTACTATTCTGATACAGGTTGTATTTTCACCTAGAAGTCTATCATTATAATTGTGAAAGTAAGCCTGTTAGTGAAACTGCCAGACAAAAAAAAGGTGTAATTACAGAGGAATTCACATAACATTTTAACATGATAAGTTTGCTTTTCTATGACAACAGCCCCGCCCACAAGTATTGTTCCTATCTCAAAGGCATAAATGTTTAAATATAGCTGCTGAGATCAGTAGCTTCCAGAGCTGAGATGTCCATCAACAAACTTAACTAGCTGCATTCTCTTAGAGGTTAGGGTAGGAAAGGGTGTATTTCTGTGAATGTGGATGTACACAGAGCCTCCTTGTTGGAGTCCTACCATGTGGTAGGCCTTGGGGATACAGCAAATTTGATGGGAGAGCACCTTGTGAGGAGCATTGTATGGGGCAGAACACAGGGGCTGAGCCTGGGACAGAGCTGGAGATGCCATTATGTTTGAGGTGCAGCTCTATTCAGCCCTGCCCTGTGGCCTCAGTTTCTTCTTCCAGCACTTGAGAGCTTCTCAGGCCCCATTTCTGTAAGGACTATGAGGCTTTATGGTAGACTTAGAAACAAGGACCCTGTGTGAGCCATGGGCTTTGGCATCTTGATGGCTTGACGGGAAATACTTGTACTCTGTTACTGTCTCTGCAGCTTTGGAGAAGTTAACCATTTTGATCTTACTTTTCTCATCTGTAAAGTAAGGATAATAAAGCCACATAAAAGATAATGTCATTGGGTTCTCATAAAAATTAAAGGCATAATGACCTGTGTGTGCCAGGAAGAAAGAATAGGGTCTCAGAAGGACCTAAATCATTTTTCCCTGTAAAAAGTAGTAGTGATTTGGATGATCCCTAGCTGTGATTTTCACAGTTGGGTACCTGCCATGGATAGTGAAAGAGGAATCTTTAGTTTCCTCTGGGTGAGTTCTGAAATACAGCCTTTTGTGGATGCACGCAGCCAGCTCTTTTCCTAAGCCATTCATGGATTCCACCTACTTCACTGAGGAAAGACACACATCTCCCTTAAGAGTTTTCCTGGGCAACTCTACTGTGGCAGGTGCAAGGGTAAAAAGAAATGATTTTGGTAATTTATCTGTTAGAACTCCTTTTCCTAAAAAATGGTTAAGGTATGTATGGAATCCATACATATCTGTACTCCATCATATATATATATAGATATAGATATATAAATATGTGATATCTGCACTCCACTGCATATATTTAAAACAGTGTCTATTAGCTTTAAATGTCAAATAAACACTGTGCCATTGTTCTATGCAACTACCAGAACTTAGGATGAGACAGTTTTACAGTGGTTGGTAACTAGAGATTGCATGAAGGCATGTTCTATTTTGTTCCATTTTGTTTTGAATTGCCCCTTCCATTGGCAATATTGCCTTGTTCATCTGAAGTCCACCATGATTACCCACAAGCTGACAGACTCTGTTGCTTGTGCAGAATCAAGTCTGAGGAAAGGCTTGCTACACTATGTGGGCCATTTGAATCAAGCAGCTGCTCCACTGCCATTTCTCTGAAAACACTGTGAGAAGAAATAGATTATTCTGGAGCAAGAATGGCGAGGGGGAGTTGTGATGAATTATACTCTGTTCACAGAAGTCATCAGATGCCAAGATGGTTATCAAGAACCTACCATGTTTTATCATCATTTTTTCAAAATATAAAAGCTGTCAGAAAACCTCATGTGATTTTTTTTATTTTTTCAGATTACTTTTTCTTCTTCTTCCTTCCAGTAAACACTTTCAGTTGTCACATGCTAACCTTCCCAAGACCTTTCTGAGTCTCAGAGTGGAAAACGTAGCTATTTACGAAAATGGTAGCTGATTCCTACTAGAAAGGAAGTCCACACAAATCCTGTCCTGGCATCAGTTATGAAAATATAACCTATAAAAAAAAATAATTTTACTATTTCTAGCCCTTACTGAAATAGTGTTTACTTTGTCTCTTGTGTTAAACATTGCACAGTGGATTTCAGCAAGATTCAGATATTATGTTTCATACTGAGACTCAAAGCTACATTTAGGCACAATAACTAATGATAGTAGTTAGACATGTGGATAGTAGTTCAGTAATTGCACCAAGTTCTCATAAGTATCTTAAAGTGGGTTTGCACCTAGTTTTTCTAGAAACCATTTCCTGTAAATTATTCTCTACATTGGGAAGAATCTGTTTATTCAAAGTGGGGTAGAGGGGCCTGTCAAGTGTTTCTTAATGTGAACAGAATATGCCTTGGGAGCAGCAGCAGGAAGAATTTGGTAGTCTAAATTGCCAAAAACCTCAAAATTTCCTTATAGTTTAACTCTGTGACCCTATAACAATAGAAATTTGATGGATATTTATTCCTTTTTTATTCCAGTAAAAATAGAAAGAGCATGGGGAGTTGGTTTTTTTTTACATTTTATAAAAAGGCAATAAAATTTTTATGACATCAATAAAAAATATTAAATGCTCAGGAATCATTTTTATAAGAATTAGTAGAGCTGGATATGGTAGCTCACCTACCAGGTATGCCCAGTTACTTAGGAGGTAAGGATTAAGGAGACCATGGTTTGAGGACAGCTTAGAGGAAAAAGTCATGGAACCCTATCTCAGCTAATAAGATAAGTGTGTGCCTGAAACCCTAGATACATAGAAAGCATAAATAGGAGGATCAAAGTCCAAGCTGGCCCAGGCAAAAACTGAGATAGTCTATTATTAAATAAGTAAAGCAAAAAGAACTAAATGTGCATTTCAAGTGATTGAGCACCTCTAGCAATGCAAGGTCCTCAGGTTAATCCCCAATATACCACCAAAAAAACCCAACACCAACTAAAAAGTAGAACCTACATTTAAAAAAAAAGTACAAATCCTCATTAAGAAACATATAGATGATCCTGGATCCATTGTAAAAATGTCATTTCCTTTTTAGTTATTGCTGACATCCTGTTATTACTGGGTCTTTTATTAAATTTTTTATTAAATACCATTTTTTGTGCTTGTACTGAGATTTGAACTTTGGTCCTGAGAGCCTCTGTCCCTTTTCTGCTCAAGGCTAACTAGCACCCTACCACTAGGGTCATAGCTCTACTTCTGGCTTTTTGCTGGTCAATTGTAGATAAGAATCTCATGGACTTTCTTGCACAGGCTGGTGTTGAATCATGATCCTCAGATCCATAGCTTCCTAAGTGGCTGGAAGTACTGGTATAAGCCACTGGCACCTTTCTGCCAGTGACATTTTAATGGTTAATTTGAGGTCATTCTACTAGACCTTATGTAGAGCTATAAACAGAAAAGAATACCAAAATATTTTTACACATTAGATTAATTATAGACAGATATTAAGAAATACATGTACTCAAGCTTCCAGATAGATCTTTGAGAAATCTTTATATTTTGAAACAACAGTCAAAATTGATCTTTACTTAAAACACCAAAGTAAGTATCATACATATTAAAAATTAAATTTAGTAATGTAAACATAAGGAAGCAAAGGCTATATTTGAATTTTCTACAAATAAACTAGATGATTAAAAGTACTTAAAGCTGGGAGATAGTGGCCAGTGGCCCAAGCCTGTAATCCTTGTTACTCGGGGTATCTCAGTAACTGATCATGGCTCAAAGCCAGCTGGGGCAGGAAGGTCTATGATGCTGTTATCTTCAACTAACAAAAATCCAGAAATAGAGCTATAGCTCAAAGTGGTAGAACAGCTGCCTTGAGTATAAACGCATAGGGTACACAGGTACTGAGTTCAAGAACCAGGACACACACACACATTATTAAGAATTCTCTAGCAAAGAAATCAGAAATAACAATGCAAAATTTTACAAAGTTTCCATGCTAAAAAAATTATTGTAAATTTAAAGATGGCAAACAAGGAAGACATTTGCAATGCCTCAGACATGTATATCTCTAAAATCCTGGGATCCTCTGAAAAAGTGGCTGGACAGACCTCTTGTGTTCATATCTTAGGGTTCACTTCACTTAGCATCATCTTATATGGCTGTTTGTACATGTTTTTTGAGTTTTTCAGCTCATCTGATAAGATTGTCCTATATCCTATATGTATACTAATTATTGCAAATGAAGGAAAGCATGTGACCTAAATTTCTTTGGGACTGGGTAACTGTACTTAATATTTTTTCCAAGTCTTTTCATTTCCTAACAAATGGGGTGGTATCATTCTTTCTTATGGAAGCATAAAATTCCATTGTATATATGTAGCACATTTTCTTGATTCACTCATCTACTGAGGGACATCTGGGTTGGTTCCATATCTTAACTATAGCGTATAATGCTGTGATAAACATAGTTGTGCTGGTAGCTTATTATTTTAAATATCCCATGTGATTTTATTTTTATTGTTGTTGTTGTTTCCTTTGTATGTTCTTTCCCCTATGGTATATCCCCTGTTGTCACTGTGCTTGATTTTGGTACCCTGCATGTTATATATACATATAACATGTATCTGGGGAGGGGATAGGAATAACAAAATGCTGAAACAAGGACACAGGATGACCCATTGCAACAAAGATACCCAGAGGACAGTATATTGGAAATGAATTTTATAACTTCGGGTGGCGAGGAGGGGAAGGGTATAAGTATATTGGGGGTGAGGAGGGAAGGGATAGTGGGACAACAACAAAGAAGGGA